AATACTATCTCTGCGCAGATTGGCATTGTGAGCTTCGGCAGGGGGTGTGCCTTGAAAGGTTTCCCAGGCGTCTACACCCGCGTTTCTTCCTACGATACTTGGCTCCTTAACAGTATAGCTTCTGGAGCATGCTGACCATCCCTAATATCAGGACTCTTGGTCCAGTATATGAAATTAAAATGGCAAAAACGCTGTCATTGTGTGTGTGTGTTTTTTTTTTGAAGCGTTGAAAACGTGACGTAAACCAACCAATTAAGTTCCTTATAACATTCTAACTATTCATACTTTAAATGAAAGGAAATAACAAAAAGTATGTATATCTCTACATATAACGTCGTTTTTGTAATTAATGACGCAATTGGTAATTGTGATTTCATAGTTTTGTTTTGATTAGCAGAGGTCAACGACTATGGAGCGGCGAAGAGCGAGAAGGCCGCCCTTTCCCCGCCCTTAGTTGTGGAGGATCAGCCGCGCCGCACCTCGCCTTATACCACGGGGTCGTGTGGATTTACAGCCCACGTGCAACCCTTGCGATTAGCAAAGAACTGGAGACACTGACTTTTAAGCAATTAATCAATAATCACATGAACCATGATGAAGAAAGGAAAAGAAAAATCCTAGAAAAATGACTTTCACATCGAAAGAATATGTAGCCAATTAATGTGGACACCCTTATTTCATACTTTGTTTTTTAGCTCAAGTACATAGACTTGTCTGCTATTATTTGTTATTATCACGCTGATAGAAAATTTATGGTTTTACATCATCCGGGGAAATAGGAAAGAAATGGCAGACACCACACGAGTTATGGCCAACAGATGTCTGCGGTTCCATTGTGTGGCTCGACCAATCAGCTTTTAGTTGGAAGAGAAAGGAACTAAGATAACGAATTCGTTATATAAGCCAATGTAAAACTAATGCATGAAGGAGTTTTTACATACACTGATTGCTACTTGCTACCACCGCACCCTGCTTTAAAAAAAGATGAAAGATTGAAGCGAAAACAGAAATAGTCATATGCAAATAAGATCCACCCGGAAACAGCATTCAAGTAGGCTAGTTGGGTGAGAACCCAGAAGCAAAGAGAACGAGGAAGATTTATTATTGAAACACACATCAGCCTTTAGAAATGGCATTTCTGTTTTCCATTAATATTTAATAGCTTATTTAAATCGTCAGTAATTATTTAAACAATAATTGTTAAAGGATTTCGTGATCCCTCTGTGCAATATAACAAAAATATCATTTTGAGCAGTTCGAGAAAGATCAGAGCAGTTTTATTGCGGTTATGTATTTTCATTGACAATATCTCTAAAGTACAACTATGCATGTCTGAGATTTCTTAATGTTTTATCATTCATTGTAACTGCCTTAGAACATGCTTATTCTACAAGAAATGTAAAGAGAGATTTTTAAATTAAAACATTTCATTTTAATGTTTTGCTTACACTCCATTATCACAAGACAGCGACCAGTTTCAAGTATTACCCGACTTTAGCTAGAAAAGACAAGGGAAGGACTTCATAAAGGATATGACTTTTGGCATTCTTAACGAAACTCTTACTTAAAGTGACAATATTCTGGTGGATTGTGAAGTAAATATAACTAGTTCACATATGTTGGTTGATTGTGGCCTTAGCTTTATGGAGAAGCCCTTTAATCGCGCGTATACATTTGGCTTCCGTTCCCCTGTACACCTGTGCATAAAAATAGAAAACGGCGGCATTCAAGGCTACCGACTATAGTCACGCCAGGTGCAAACAAGACTCGCAACTATGACCTTGGTTCCACTGACGTACGTTGTGATAGACTGCCCTTCGGTCCTACCTACGTGGACCCCTTTCCTAAACCTTGTTTTCCATGTAGCTCGTGGTCAACGAAAACAATCGGCCCTGTTTTCTAATGTTCCCAAAATCTCCTGGACCACTTCTACTGTGTGTGTGTGTACGCACGTACTCATGGCAGAATCTCGTTATGATATTCGAAAGACAGTGAGCTTATTCTGATGTTTTTTTTTTTTTTTTTTTTTTTTTTGCTGACCAATTCCTCAACATGTAGTAGTGAATATTTGTCTCAGCACTGCCACCTTAATGCATTTCCCAGAAAGCAGGCTGAAAGTCAGCGAGTTCCCAATCTTTGCAATCTGGCGACAGTCGGCGTAAAAGAACTCTCGATCAGGCCCTCTAAGAGAAAGCGAAGGACTAATCAGACGTCATGCTTTAGTGGGCTTGGTAGAAGGAAGAAGACAGGAAGGAGAGTGCGGGTAAGACCCTGTTCAGACAAGCGTTTTTAGTTCTCCGACTGCTAGAAGCGCGAGTGCCAGGCCAGTGGAAGTGAACAGGAGTGCACACAGTAGTGGCTTGTGGCTGGCCTGTGGCGCGACTCGCGATATCCCTCACGGCGACAACCACAACATATATGTATGTATACAAATGTATGTGTGTGTGCATAATAGTTGTATATATATATATCATCATCATCAAGGGGGCTGACGCCGACGGGGGCGCATAGCCGCATCCACCCTTTGCTTCCACCTACGAGGATCCCTCATGGCTAGACGCCAGGCAGGGACTCGGCCCATCTCTAGTTCTTCACGGCAGGTTTGGTCGATCTGCCCAAGCCATGACTTCCTCGGTCGTCCCACAGGCCTCCTCCACCCAGGGTTGTCTCGAACAGAGACGACCTGATGGGCAGGATCATCCTGAGGAAAGCGAGCCAGGTGGCCGTATAGCCTGAGTTGGCGATCGCGGATTGTGCAGATAACAGGGCTTGTGCCAGTCTCACGGTGCAACCGTTGGTTGGACACATGGTCCCGCCAACAGTACCCCATGATCTGGCGCAAGGACCTATTACAAAAGGCTTCAAGACGAGCCTCCAAGGCACAGGACAATGTCCAGGTTTCGCTTCCGTATAGCAAAACTGGCATTATCAGGGCCTTGAAAACCCGTAGCTTGGTCCTTCTGCACAGGTACCGACATCTCCAAATACTCTTGTTGAGAGAGTTCATGACCCCTACTGCCAGGCCAATCCGTCTGCTGACTTCATGGTCTGACAGCCCAGAGTTATGAACTACACTACCAAGGTATGTAAAGCTATCTGTGACTTCAATGTCCTCGCCGCAAGCACGTACCGACTGAACAGGTTCTCCTAACAAGTCCCCAAATTCCTGGACCTTGGTCTTGGTCCAGGAGACCTCTAGACCCAGGGGCTTCGCTTCATTGCTAAATGCATCGAGAGCCGCCACTAGGGTTTCCAAAGACTCAGATAGAATGGCAACGTCATCAGCAAAGTCAAGGTCTGTAACCTTGATATTGCCCAGCGTTGCCCCACAATGACTTTTGAACAGTAGCTCTGCCCAGTATCCAGTCCATGCAAGTGTTGAAAAGAGTTGGTGCAAGGACACAGCCTTGCCTCACTCCTGAACTAACAGGAAAGAAGCTCGACAGGCCCCCACCACACTTTACAGCACTTTCAGTACCAGTATACAGGCTTACTATTATTCCAATAATCCTTGTTGGTATTCCTCTCAGCCTCAGGATCTCCCAGAGTGACTCCCGATGTACCGTATCGAACGCCTTCTTGAGGTCGATGTAGGCTGCAAGCAGCCCATGCCCGAACTCACGACGGCGCTCTACAATGACTCGAAGCGCGAGGATAGGGTCTATTGTGGACTTACCAGGAGTGAATCCGGATTGCTCCAGTCTCTGGTGCCTCAGTAGATGGTCTCTGATACGTCTCAGAAGGATGTGGGCGAGAACCTTGCCTGGTATACTGAGCAGTGTGATGCCTCGGTGATTGCTGCAGTCCCAACGGTCCCCTTTCCCCTTCCAGAGAGGGCTGACCACACCTCTCAAGCAGGTTCTCGACCACTAACCGCATCCAAGTTAACTGTTGTGGGTCAACCTGGTACAGCTGCTCAAAATACTCAGCCCAACGTTCCCGCACCGCAACAGGATCTGAAACGATCTGACCACTTACTGAGCGAACTGCTGTCACCTGTGAAGAGGGCTTGGAGTTCAGCTTTCTCAGGGCTTGGTATGCAGGACGAAGGTCATTTACTAAGAAATGGCCTTCTACCTCCTCTGCAAGACTCCTAATAAACTGTTCCTTGTCCCTTCTTAACAGGGACCGAGTTCTGCGCACATGAGAACGGTGCAATTCCCGATCCCCTGTCAGACGAGCCGCACGACATGCATCTGTGGC